TGTGTGTGAATGTTGGGGGATAAGAGAAAACTTCCCTCTCTCTCTAATCCAGCAGCTTCCCGTCTCTGGGGTGTTCCAGTAGTTGGATCATTATAAACACACTTGCAGCATCCTCACAGTCTTGGTGACATTCTCCCCTGAGTGAATATTTTACTATGGGATGTTCATGCTGACTGAGGACTCTGTTAATTGTGACGACTCTGAGCAAGGCAACATTAAACATTTAACTGCTCTCTGGCGCTGTTCCTCATCTATTTAAGCTAGGAGCAGCTTGTGTCTCTACGGCGTTATCAGCACCATCATTTTAGTTTCCTCTGATCTCAAACTTCTGTTTACATTCATCTATGTTGTGTAGCCAAAATTATGGTGCTAATGTTGTTAGCTAAAACTGTTTTCTAGAGATGGAAATGTAAAAAAAGGTGTAATTTCATCTTGGAATTATTTTGTTTTCGTTGTCAACCAACAGATCTGTTGGGGTTTAGTGGCTTTAGGTAACTAACTGTGTTAGTGAGAAGATGGAGCTACATCATCTGTCCTCCACTGAGAAATGGCAAATGGCCTGTATTTGATATAGCGCCTTCTAGAGTCCTGGAACCCCCCAAGGCGCTTTACAACACAATCAGTCATTCGCCCATTCACACACACATTCACACACTGGTAGGGATGAGCTACAATATAGTCACAGCTGCCCTGGGGCGCACTGACAGAGGCGAGGCTGCCGAGCACTGGCGCCAACGGTCCCTCCGACCACCACCAGCAGGCAAGGTGGGTTAAGTGTCTTGCCCAAGGACACAATGACAGTGACAGACTGAGCGGGGATTGAACCTGCAACCTTCCGATTACGGGGCGAGCGCTTAACTCCTGTGCCACTGTCGCCCACCTGAGGATACACACACACACACACGCACGCACGCACGCACACACACACACACACACACACACACACACACACACACACACACACTCTGCACACCATCTTAGCAGCAGCATATCTCTGCCCTCTATTTTGTGCCTGTCCACTCTCAACAGGCAGCAAGCCGCCTATGCAGAGTGGGATGAATAGTGGTACCCTTTTCCCTTGTGCCTATTAAACCCCCACAACCCCACAGATCTGTTGTAATACCACTCGCTTAAACACACACAAGCAGCTCTAACATTCATCCAGCATCATTTGTCCTGATCTGCAACCTGCGGCTTAGCAACTCCTGAAGTCTGTACATCTATTTGTTTTCTCTTCCTGCTTTGTCCTGTTCAGTGCCGTGAGGCTGCTGGACGGGTCTGCTGTCAACCTCAGGGCCAAACCCTCTTTTCAAACCAACCTCTAAATGTTTAAATCTTTAAACGATTTTGCTATATTGTCAGATTACCCGACACTCACAAACCTGGCGGTCTATTTAAAGTAACAGTGAGCAGTTTCTTACTCCTCTCCCCTACTGTTTGTAAGTGGAATTACAATTGTAGTAAACAACCCTGCTGTAGCTAGCGTTAACATCAAGCTAAAACTAACAGCGTAAGCCGAGTAAAACTAAAATAAACCACAAATTAAGAAGATCCACAAAATATTTTTACTTACAAGCACTGTAGCAACAAAGCCAGGTCACCATTAGTCCGTGATTTTTGTAACCTCCTTTAGCTCCCTGAAACCAGCATAGACCGCGCAGATGTTCCCTCTGGTTTTAGCTCTTTGCTTTGCCTCTAAAGGCATTTATCTCTTACTTTTACTTCCAGGCTTTGCTGTGATGCCAACAGAAAACACAAACTTCTTATTTTCTTCTTCTTGTACTTTATATTGACAATCGGCAAACTGGAAACAGCTAAGAGCCATAAAGGAGGCAACGAGCGCCCCCTAGAATTCCTACCTGCTTCACAAAATTGTCAAGTGTGGATTTTGGTTAGCAGTGGGCTGCAAAGTGGTGTCAAAAATAAAACTGGTCAAGTTTCTAACCCAACAATCACGGAGATCAGTGTCAAAGTTCTAGTTTAATGTTTAAAAAAATTGTTTGGTGTTACTTTAAAGGGACTCTAAGGAAGTTTGACAGCCAAAACTTGTATAGAATTAATAAATTTCTTCTTCATACATTCTCCTGCAATGCCCTGGTCCTGTAGAATGAGCCCTGGCATTTTTACTGTGATTGCCTGTTTTTCTGTAAAATCACAGAAAAAGAGAGCTGCTCGGGTCGAGCAGGCTGCTTCATGCTCGTTCACGCTCAGGCATCGCCTGTAGCATTTGCTATCCGTAGCTTTAGCAGCAGAGAGAGAGGTAGTGCCAACTCAGTGACTTTGTCGCTGTTCTTAACGCCTAGTGATGAACCTAGCTACATTTCTGAGGACCCTTAGCTACTTTCTGTAGAACTTTCTTTTAGATATTCCTTGCAAATCAGCAACAAAATAGCCATTTTCGCTCTGAACCATTCTTTGGATTGATGTTGTTTGAGCTGTCATCAAGGATATAAAAGTTACAGATAGATTCAGTGTCACTGGCGCTTTAGCTCACCTAGTAAGATGTCTGACTTTCATGCAGAAGACCTGGGTTTGATTCCTGGTGTGAACATAATTTGTTATTTGGAGTTTATTTTTTACATTAATGATATTTTTTTTACAGTAATAAGATGCCCAAATTATTATTTGAGACTCGCCGAACGGCATTAAATTCACAGATAAAAAAGATGTGGGTTCAACTTTCATTTTGGAACAATTTTTCAAGCAAGGGAAGGGAATGATTGAGCATGCAGGAGGACTGACCCATCATAAACCTTTGTCGGCTGTGCTGAAGAGAAAGGTACAGAACCAAATTATTTAATTAATTAGCTGCACGTTCTCCTGTACTCTGTCCTCCGGGACGGACGGACACTGCACGTTCGGCTGGCCGACGAGAAAGTGCAGCTGCAGAGACAGAGGCACATTATTTTTATTAATTTGCTGTGTTCTTCTGTCCCCCCCCCCCCCCCCCCCCCCCCCCCCCCCCCACACACACACACACACACACACACACGGGGCCGTCTCAGCTGTTATTTTTGTTGAGGAGTGTGCACGTACAGCATGCGCACCTCATGCACAAGCTTACTTTTGAAGCTGCAGTTACACGTTAGGCCTGAGTGGCGATCGCGAGCAGAAAAACTTCGAACTTCCTTAGAGTCCCTTTAAGAGACACATTTTCTGATTATCGTTCGATAAAAACATTCATGAATTCTTCCAGCCAAACACTTTAGAACCAACTGAATTATTTCTTCAGTGTCTCATGCAGTGAAAATGACAAAGATTAATATGCCAGATGAACTTTAATTGGGGGGGGGGGGGGGGGGGGGGGGGGGGGGGGCACGTATTACCTATGGAAGTAAAAAAAAAAAAAAATACAGTCTTGTTCAGAATTTGGAAACTATAAATTCTCGGTTGGCCTGGCCCACTTTTGAAGCAGCACTGGCACCATTTTTAGAGCGATAACCTGCAGAACAAATACGAGAGTATTCAGACTTTAAAAGTCATTAGTAAGTCGAAGCAGAGTTTTAAATCAATCTATGAAGGCTGGTGTGAAAACAATTCACAATTATGCAGAAACGTTAATGAACACTTCCTAATGTGTTCTAGAACGTTATTATTACAGATAAGTGGAACGCCAATAAACTCATTTATAGATCAGGGATGGATCTTAAGTTGTAGATAAACTTTATCGTTCTGATTTTATTAAAATACCAGAAGTCATGTTTGTTGTTGTATTGTTTGCAAAACACACCTTTGATCTTTTAGATTTTTGCCAAGTTTAGTCTCAATTAGTTCACATGAAGCAAAGTCCTGGTAGAAAAGACATGAGTTACTAGCTGAATTAATCTCTCTCTCTCTCTCTCTCTCTCTCTCTCTCTCTCTCTCTCTCCCTCTCCTCTCTTTCTCTCTCTCTCTCTCACTCACACACACACCTGAAAAAAGTGACTAATCTGAAGACATAGCTTTATATTTAGTCAAGGGTGACTCTCTCTCTCTCGCTCTCTCTCTCTTTCTGGAAGAGGAATCTCAAGGGACAGCTTAGCTTTGAGCCCTCATTTTCTCTTTCTTTTCTCCCCCACCTCTGCATCCATTATTTCCGGATCGTCCTCTGAATGGAGACACAGACGGTTGGGTTGGTGAGAAAGGCCGATTTCTGTTCCCGCTTCTGTCTTGTTCATATAAACACAACATGTTTGGAACCGAGTGCATAACCTTTGGATTTGTGAGCAGAAATACTCAGCACAAAAAACACACACACAAAAAAAAACGCACAAGAGCTTTAACTTATTGCAGCAAAAGGCGTAAAATCAATAGTTCACTTAAGGTTGACCTGAGATCAGCAAGACTTCACGCACTCGTCTTCCCACCCTTCACTCTGGAAATAATTCACAAACAACCCGGCTTAAATATGATGTGCTACCTGGGAATATCACAGGGCCTTTTTGTTGTCATGGTTATTGAGTGTTGGGTGGCTCAAGGGGAAATGGAGTTTGGAGGTGGAAGTAGGAAGCTGAAAGGGAAGGGGGGAGGAATGGATGGGTACGAGCAGGAGGAGGGGCGCTATCTTAATTGCTTTCCGTGAATAATTTCAGTCCCCTAATTTGGCGATAATGACGGTGGCTGCTGCTTTTGTATTTATTTATCCAAACATTAATTGACAGGACTGACATTAGCCAGGGCGGTTATTGCCAATTTATTGCGCACAAGGGAGCAAAGAAAATTACAGTAATTATCATTCTGGTATGGATTATGAATATGCATTCTCACACTTAATGTCTTCGTCAGCATTTTAGTAACAACAAGGCACTCTGGAATGACAACAGCACTTTAGCTCATCTTTATTTCCCTGAATCCAATCCAACCCGTCTAGTGGAGATGCAGTTGTCTTCTAGGAGCGACATAGCCGTCCCAGCGTGGCGTTTTCACCCCCTGAGGTGTGGCTAGGCGATCTCACCGACATGAGAAGGTGACTTTAACCTGCTTAACATGTGTGATGACATGTTTGATCTTTTTCCTTTCAGGCGGAAGGAGAAGACAACTTGAAGAAGATGCAGCTAATGGAGCTAGCTATTCTCAACGGGACGTATAGAGACAACAACATCAAAGCCCGTAGGTTGACTGCAACACACACACACATACACACACAGCTTTTGTTTTACATGACTAATCTCTTCACTGCGCACATTAAACATAGCAGAAGGAGTATCTGTTTCTCGTGAACTAACAGTTTAACCTCATTAGGTTTACAGTTAGGTTTGACATCATGTTAACTGTGACCACCAGGGGACACTCAACAGCTCAGGTTCAGTTACGGAGGACCACTTCTTTTCCATTCTGAGCTTCTCTCCTCCACATCCATCCATCATTCCCTCTGCCGCCCATCAACACCACCTTTACGTCACTCGTTCTAATCTTTAAGCACATTGCTGCCTCTCACCCGCCTCACCCTGCATGTCAGACACCAGATCACACACACTACGCTTGACCTGTGCATGCTCTGTCTGATTCAAATGAAAACATATTCAAATATGAGCCTGAAATATGAATCATTCTGTGTGCTTGGGTTCAAATACACAGAATGAAAGATTTAAATGATCAGTTTCTGTGTTTGTTTGATCGTTTAGACGAGCGGTTGTGTTTATGAGCTAGCCTACCCGCTTTCTGCTGTTGTGACACAGCTCATAGCTCCTGCTGATGCACAATGTCCTGGAAAATGTTTGTTTTCACGTCCAACGTGACCCGGCTGCTGACTGTGTGAAGGATCAGCGTTGATATAAATTATTAACCTGAAGTTACTCGTGTTTTACTTCATCCAAAAGGGGTCAAACTTTGGTTGTTTGGATTTGTGAGAACTTCCTCCACATGCACACACACACACACACACACACACAGTCAGCAGCTGTGTTTCTGTTGGGGTGTTTGTTGTTTACTGTGTTGTGCCTTTTCCTTTAGACAAACGTGTTGCTGCTGTGGTGATCGGTGTGCTTCAGATGCATTGGGATGGCGCTATATTTGTTTGATTTTGTGTTTTTGGGTGTAAGGGGTTATGATTTTGTTCTGTTGTATTGATTTTGACTTTTGCAGCCAACTGTCGCTTTTGTGGTTCACCATTGTGATCATTGCATGGACTAATTCTCCCTTTTGCTCCTCTCCTCTCTTCTCTTGTCCTCCCTTATCCTCCTGTTCACCCCCTTTCCTTTCTCCTGTTTTGTATTTCCACCCTCCAACGTTCAACTGTGATAACGATAAACTACACTACACTTTTCTGGCCATCTCTCTTTCTCTCTACACCTGTCCTTTGCTCTTGCTTATGGCAGCCCCCCTTGCGTTCTCTCTTGCAGCGGCAGCAGCGGCTGCGCAGGGTCCGCGCCTCATAGCGGCCCCCGCAGGTCAGGTGTTGCCTCCCCAAGCTCTCCGGCCTCCAACGCCAGCCGGAGCTCCCATCATGAACATCATCCGGCCTACTCAGATGGCTGCCATGCTGCCCAATGGCACTCCCACATTGGTGCCTTCCACACCAGACGCCGGGCTCATCTACACCACCCCTTATGACTACCCCTATGCCTTGGCACCCACCTCGCTGCTGGAGTACCCCATCGAGCACAGTGGGGTTCTAGGTAAGAGAGCCTGGGGGAGCTTGGGTGCAGCAGGTACAGCGGCCACCTTTAGCCAACCTGGACAGGAGGGCAGCTTGTTTTACCCCGGAGCTGGGGTGCTGGATGCAGCTTCCTTGAGCCACAGTCAGGACATGTTGAAAGGTAAATATATTGTGTCCACCTGAAGATAAATCAGACAAATTGACGGGGTGGATGTGCTGGTGAAGCTCTTTGTGATGGGGTTACCAGCGGTGTGGCTCATATGGACGAGATAGAAAACAGGCAAAGGGGACAAAAATATCTGATGAGGGTTTTGGCTGGGGAACTGTACTCTCAGCCGAGGTTACTGCTCTGTTTTAGTTACTCCAGCCAAACAAACATGCTCAGGTTTACATCGCCTCTTCTCTGCAGGATTTATAGGAGAATTTGCCTCGGTGTGAACCGTGGCACACTGGCAGAAACACTCTTTCATACATGCAGCCTGCTCTCTAACCTTTTCATGCACTGGCCTGGAGGCATATTCAGTCTGGAGGCAGATCCCCTCGGATTTCTGCAGCTTTTGAAATTATTTCTCTGCCGTTCTCTGCAGGCAGGTCTTGATGCCTGCAGATCAACCCTCTCCTCACTCCCACACGGGATGTTCATTAAATTCCTCCAATTTTCCCCTCATTTTCTCCGTTGTCCTTTCTCTCCGTCGTCGTAGCTTCACCCCTGTTGAACTTGAGCTCTTTGTTAGGCGTCCCCAGTGTTACGTCTCGTTTCTGCGTCAGGTTAACTCTTAGATATATTTTTTTCCTCAATGGTGCTTAAAGCTCAATGCATCTGCTACCAAAGATACATGTGTTAAGCATTCTGACGTGTGCAGCATATGTAGCTAACAAAATAAAGCTGCTCGGAGACAAAGGGAGGCTTTAGCCGCTGCTGTCGGGCTTTGTGTTTGACGCGTCGTCTTTAACGTGTTGTCGTGGCAGCGGCAGACACCGGTGTGATTTTAGCTGACCTGTGTGTCTGAGGCGCCTCTGGGAGACGTGTGGAACAGCCGGGACAGCTGACCGGCTTTTCTCTCTTTAACTTGCAGGGTTACACCAGCTTAGTGCATGTTATTTACTCACACTATCGATCGGTGCCTTCAGCAGAACACACAGCCCTGTGAAACGCGCTCACGCACTCCCGTAGATTTGGCCCGGCTGCACGCGCTGCTGTATGCGGGTTCCCTCCTGCCTGCCTGCGAGGACAGACATTACTCCAAACTTGCTCTTAATAAAGCAAAAACTAAATCTGCTGCATTTATCTAGCCCGGTTTCTCTTGGAGGACTTAACTTGGTTTTCCTAATCTTGAACTTTTCCTTAATACTTGAGCGCTCGGTGACACCCGAGTCGTGTCAGGTTTATGAGGCCGTGTCAACAGCTGCAGCAGGAACAAATCAGTTGTGACAAATATAGGCGGGGAATGACAGCCCGCGCCGTCGGCCAGCAGATTGACCTGGAGAGAAACGCTGGAAGTGGCAACGAGAAAATGAAGAGGGAGAGGCAGGTGGTGTCTGCCACTATTCAATTACCATCAGAGCTATATTGGATTTCCCCATCTTTCAAAATAAAGAGACACATTTCTCTCTGCTCCTTTTGGGATCCCACAGGAAGATTCACATTATTTTTCTAGACCGACACAAGAGTCCGTACCTTTAGCTGCCCTCTTTTCAGAGTCCCCGTTTAAGCACTGTGGAGTTTTAGTACCTAAGTTCTGCTTTTTAAAGCAAATCCTCAAAGGGATGTATTATTTTTTTTCTACTAAGCTTTTGTACATGTAAAAACAGACATATGTGTTGTGTATATGTATAATATTCTGTAATAAGTTCTGTGTATTGTATAATCTAAGCATTACCAGTCATAATGGTTCAAATGTGAATGATATTTCTGTAAAAAGAAGAAGAAATGACTGTTTTTCCTTTCCTCAAAGTGAACGGTTTCTAACCTTGTGGACCTGTTACGATCTAGGTGCAATGGCTACTAAAGTGAGACGGCATGACACGCGGGTCCATCCTTACCAAAGGATTGTGACCGCTGACAGAGGTCAGTTTAGTCTCTTAGCTACACTCTCCTGTTGACTGATGCATTTCTGACATTACTGTGCCTCACTGCCTTAGTCGGGGATTTGTATATTATGTGTATCGTGTAATTCTTTTGTTTTCCTTTCCCCTCCACCACCTTTCCACCCCTAAACACCAACTCACCAGCTAAATGGTCGAGTCTGGTGTGCACATTTTGTTTACATGTTCAGTTTGTGCAGACTTGTGTTACTCCAGCTCAGGCAAAAAAAAAAAAGACAAAAGGTTTTGGTTCATGCAGCTGTGAAACCAGGACAGGTGAAGGTGTAGGACGACATTCCTCTGATGTGAAATTAGAGCCTAAAGTGGAGCAAACCGGTTCCCATACATGATTTATTTCCTCGGGTCTTAAGGAGCAAAGACAAAGCTTAGCCGCGCCATAGGAGACGAGTAGCTTCGCCGCTACTAGACATCATTTCAATGAGGAAATTCAGACTTATGTGGGAATTTTATTTTTGTAGAGAAAGTAGACGCGCATAGACGTTAGCAGTGTTATGCAAATTTATTGAAATAAAGCTAAAAACATTTTTGGATATTTCAGTTGTACATGAGGTACTGTCATTTTATATTTCAACATTTTATATCAAATGTATTTATGGTTTTGTGTATATTTATATTCTATAAAACTATACTGTTAAATAAAGAGAGAATCAGAAGGCATTGATTCATCTGTTCATTCCACGATGAACACTAGACACACAACTAGTTACTGGACTTTACCACTAATCACACTGGAACGTAAAAACACTAAAACTAGACTTGTTCACCTCATTCTGCTTTTTTTTTGGGGTGGGGGGGGGGGCAGTGGGTGCTTTAACAAAGCCAGATTAGGGTGTGGCTTAGCATTTTGGATCATGACATCATTACGTCATGATTTTGCTGAGAGTAGGGGGGGGGGGGGGGGGTATCATGTTCATTTTATTGTTAAAATGATGTCATTCCAGTCTCTTCCTGCTGACACTAATATCCTTTCTATCTTTTTTTTTCTGTTTGTTTTGTTTTTGTTTCTAACCACCTAGCCGCCACCGGCAACTAACACATGACCTTCTGACCTCTGAACTCTTCACCCAATGACGAGCCGCCCCAAGCCTGCCTGCTGATCAGTTAACTGGTAATTGCCTTTTGCTAGCCTCTCGGACGCAAGTGACAGAGAGAGGCGCCTGCCCGTACAGTTACCCTAACACGTTCTGACAAAAAGATAAAAAAAACAAACCAACGCAGAATCTTCACTGAAACACAACGTCAACAAAAATAACTTAAGTTGTGTATTATTCATTTTTTTCCTCTGTTCATTAGTTCAGTTCCCATTCTTTCTCTTTCTTTTTCTTCATAAATCATATACTGGGTGGATGTGTTTGTGTTACTCAGAAATCTGCACTGAATTATATAGCAATAAAGCCCCGCCCACCCGTGTTCGTTTGACTGCTCTGATTGGTGACATCACTTGCTTTGGTCGACGTTCAACAACGCGACGCAAACCATTTGGTTTTCAGCGTGGTAACCATAAGATTAATCATCCTCAACCACCCGCCACCCCAAACGTAAACATGACCTGTAGGAGCACCCGGCTGCTCCCGCCCTCCTCAAACACCCACCCATGTGAGAGAAAAAGAACGGGAAGGGAAGGGAACGTCCACTTACATTAACTTGTTTGATTTCTGTCATTTTTCACATGTATTTGAGTTGAGCTCTACATATGTAATTATGAGCTGACACATTCTGGGTGTGCCCCTCTAAACGGCTTTCTGTCTGTTTTACGAAAAGCATGGCTGAAATGATAGCAGAAGGAGCTTTTTATGATTTATATGTTGCTGTTTTTTTTCCCTTCTGTCTCGATTTTTATGTTTTGCTTTTTAGTTTTGTTTTTGTTTTGTTTTTTTCACTTTTTTTGTTCATGTGTAACAAATTATCTTAAGGGGCTAAAAAAAGCAGGTGGTTATCTCTAAAAGTCAGAACATCGTCTAGTGTTAAAGGCAGAGATGAAAAAGTACAGGAAACAAGATGGGAGGGTCATTGTTTTGGGCTGATGGGTCCGTGCGTGCGTGCGTGCGTGTGCGTGTGTGTGTGTGTGTGTGTGTGTGTGTTTCAAAAAATACTACAATGAAAGTAGGGTGTGCTGAGGCTTCGGGGACACAGCGGCAGTGCTTATTAGCGACTGGCCATTGCTACGCCCCCATCCACACTACATCTACTATCCAGTGCCTGATGTATTTAGAAGAACATCTCAATGAGTTAGCCGAGCTGTGATCACAAAGATTAAAAATAAAAGTATTGCGTGCGTTTTTAGCCAAAGGGTTTTCCAGTGAGGTATATATATCTGCAATTATGCATCTGTCTCGCAGAGGGCTCTCTTTGTGATTTTAGACTTGGGAAGGGTGTGAACTTTTGGTGCCTGCCTTCAGCTGGAACAGACGCCCTGTCAGCTAGATTTTCGTTGACCCCTTATTGCTACATTATTTTCTTCCATGAGGTTAACACAGGATATTAACACTAAATTTTCATGCTTCTTAATTCCAGCTTCATTCTTACATTGCTGGGGAAGGACACTAAAGTTCTGCAAATTAAAAATTTTGTTTATTGAGTTTTTTCATCAGCCAAGATTTTATTTTATTGCATTTTTTTAATTCATTTACAAATTTTGGAAGAACTTTCTTTTAATGTATTTCTTGGTTTGAGGTTGGCATAATCCGAGCCTTCCTGCATAGGCAATTTTTCTTATTTTACTAATAGAATCTAATACATGCCAAACAAAAATTCAAAAAGTGCATCCACAATGTGTCACACCTCCCTCTGATTGTAGTCTAGCTTCTGAGCCCACAGTCCTTTGTTCAACTCTCAAGAAAATATAGGATGTGAAAGCCATGCCTGCCTGTTCAAATTGCTTTATACATACGTCTTATAAATATAAATATATAAAAATGTAGATATCTGTCATTGCATATGAAAATACAGAACAAAAAAGTAAGATAATTTTACAGGGTGCTGGAGATTAAAACATAAATCAAAAATCTATTTTTGGCTATTTTAGCTTTTGATACTTGCAGTTATAAAATAAAAAAATAAGAAAAATTAAAGAAAAAAGTTTCCGACAGTGTAGGAGAAAACAGGCAAACGGAGTGGGTGGGGAAAAGTGCTGTTACCTTCAAAAGATTTGGAAAGGAAGACCAAAAGACTCATAACCCTTGGAAAGCTGGTGAGATCAGAGCGAGACAGATGCCTAAAAGGATCAAGTCCAAGTGCCTTATCAACTTCTGTTTTCTAGTAGTTTTCCAGTTCTGTTTAAAAAATATCCAGCACCCACCGAGATGGCGCAGAGAGGAATGGCTAGTGTTACACGCTCTGATGAATCGAGCTGGGTAGCTGGCGCCGCCGCGTAGCGTTACCCAAGTTATTCTATGCAAAAAGAATAGCAGTCGTTTCGACCAGCTAAAATATGTGCCATGGTTTTGTCTTCCTGAAATGATTTTAATTCTTTTGTTTTCTTTTACCTGATAACCCTTTACTCTGCTGAATTAGCAGGTTTTGTTGTTTCTTTTTTTATTATTATAATAATTTAGGTTTTAATGATGAAATGAAATATTGTCTTGATTTTTGGTGACTGTACCTAAATCCCTTCGAACAAATTGAACTGCCATTAGCAACCAAGTATTGTGCCAGAACATGTTTTTGATCATGAGCTGAGAAAAATACATATTTAGGAGATTGGATAGAAAAAGTCGGGGGGGCGTTCTACCCCATTTGGTGGTTTGTTTCAACAACTGCAAACTGAAAACATCCCTATGTCTCCATGTCGACTAGACAACAAACGATCAGTTCAGTGATGATATGTCTAATGGACAAATGAAGCCTTGGATTATGAAGTAGGTCTGTTTCAGGCTAATAGTTTTCAGTTATTGAAACAGCTGACAGGTTGCTGCTCGAAGGTGAAACTAGAATGAATCGGCAAATTCCCAAATCCAATAGAACCCACGGCAGTTGATTTTTCTATTCATAGCTCTTTCATCAAGCTGTTACACCAAAAGGTCAATGATTTTTTTTTCAGTGTTATTTTAAATTGTAATGCAATATTAAAGTGGAGCAAGAGATGGCAATTCAGCATTTGACAGTATTAAGAAAAATTCCCTCTGCAATGTTACAACATGCTGTGTCATTGTGAAAGGCTGGATTAGTCCATCAGGTGAAAGGTGGAATCTATACCTACCGTATTCTCTCTGGCCTGCCTACTACATGTATGATAATGTAATTAACAGCCATTGTTACAGGTTTATAATGTATTTTTCTAATCTCATTTTATATGTATATTAATCATGTTTCTGAGTTTTATCTTTCTTTTATTGTTTATTTTTAAACCTACTGCAACTCCCCCTCTGAACAGCCCTTTCCCCCTCCCCCCTTGCCTCTTACATCTCAAACTGTCTCTTGTGGGGAGTGTCGCCTTTTTCCCTGTTATATTTTGTTTTCTTGCCGATTCCCAGCTTGTTTAACTCATTAGCTACTTTATTAGTTTTCTTGTCATAAGTATTTTTACATGCTTGCGTTTAGTTTTCATGGTGTATGCTGTTATTTTTCTTATTAACCCCTTGGCATTTATTTTAATAAAACATTCTTAGTAAGAATTTTACTAACTTGCTGATATTTTGTCTTGTGTTTTTAACCAGTTTCATGAATGTATTACCTTGGTCTGGTTCACGGACTAACACAATTAAAACCAGTGTATGGCCACAACTTCCACTGACTGACGAGCACATTTACCAGTATCTCGCTGGGCTCCAACTTAAAGAGACTAGTTGGAGACACTAAATTGCAAGAAAATGCACAGACAAATGGTTGGAATCACACTTAAATGGTATTTAAGACACATTTACTTGAGTTGAAACTACAGATGCGTTAATTTAGTTGCATCCAGAATGCTCGATTTACTTAATTTGGTCTCCAGACACAAATCAGCTTTATAGATTCCCAACCCTTGCTAAATTAACCTCGTATATTTTGCACTTTCTTAATTGCAGAAACTAAATTGAAAAACAGTTTGAGACCCTCAGAGAATTCAAAATTTGTCTTAAATGCATCAAACACAACCCTGCAGTTGCACTGAGAAGACCAAGATTCTTCTTAAATATTTCAAGGCATTTTAAAGTCGATGCAGGCTTTACTTGCATGAATGTATACATGCGTCAAACTTGTATCTCACTAGGTTGTTGAAGACAAATTAAGAACCCCATTCACGAGATTCCCAAGAATGTTTGCAAGGGTTCTTAATGTGTTGTGAGTTGCAAGGCCTTGAATGTTGGAACATCTGGTTCCGATCCTCAATCGCCAGTGATCATGGAATTGTTCAGATTAGTTTCCGTAAGTCAGAGACTGTTGGACAACTTGTAAGAGTCTGTGAGAATCAGACTTCCTGTGTGCAACAAACAAGATACTTCTTGGTTTGTAGTTTAGAAATACGCAAATGTGTGATTACACTTGAAAATGTGCACATTTTCTCCCAATTCTGTCTCCAATCTATCGCCAACAGTTGCAACCCAGTAAGACACGAGCCTAAGAAAACGAGACACTAGCACACACAGCCTAACTGGAAACTGCACGAGTTGAGCGTCCCCTCCACCCCCTTCACTCCAGCTCTGACACTTTGTGCTGACCCTCTTCGTACTCGACCGTTCGCCAATGCTGCTGCTGTGTGTCGTCGCCTCTCCTAGAGACAACTCAGATAGTTGTCTTGTCCTTTTGTGTCACTGAACCTTGTGAGACAGCAGCAAGTGGGGGAGGGGATGTAAGCTGCACTCTTCTAGAGGTCACTGGTTACACTTCTGGGTCAACGGTTCTTTCTTGAAAACAACACACCCTGGTGAAAAGTGCGATGTGTATGTGGGTGTGCACATGGGTTAACCTCTAAGTCGAGAACTCCCCGGTCCCTACACATAAAACCCAAACAGGCTGTCTCCTGCCATTAGAGCAGCGCTAATCTCAATCTGTGCATAAATACTTCCCATTAGTCATCTCAAAAGGATTAATTTTACTGTGAATATGTACAGCAGAACATCCCATCAGCATACATTGTTTTAAAAAGGGAGTTATTTACAAGTGACACTCGGGGAAAATTAATCGCTGCCCTTTTATCGCGTCTTTTGCCCGTTACACTGGGACAGCAGCGTAACAGTTTTACACCAGCTGCTGCCTGGCAGATATTTCTCAACATTCATCTTATTGACGAAACTGAACACTGGACTATTTGGGAGCATCTATAACGCTTAGACACACACCAGTGCACCACGCCAATGTGAAGTGCTTTGGGATCAAAACAGCGTTTTTTGTGTAAGTGTTCTTTCAGTTCGCCGCGACTTTTTCTTTTTGGGGATTTTATTTACTTTTTGTCTTTTCTCTGAAGCGGAGCCATTGCTGCTTTTTCATTCTCCTGTGGGTGCACTCATCCCTGGGTTCATTCAGCTTCTCTTCTCTTTCCACTAATACGCGATATTGACACTGACACACAACAAAAAGATTAACTATATTAATCCTTATTTTTACTCTAACTTACCAAGAGTTTATTTTTCTTTCCACGTTAATTTTTTACATCTGTAGCGCAAAAACAAGTTGGCCTTAAGTGTTGCTGTTGCTTTAATGTCTCAGCAAGCACAAAAACAACAAAACTTCAAACCTCACATCTCTCTTCTCTCTGAAGTTATGTAATCACTTTTCTAGCTACAGTTAACATTTCAGTTTCAGTCTTTGATCTAAAGTCGGGTGCTTTGTGTTTCCTCGTCACCTGCTTTTTGCTGAGAGATTGGATTACAGAGAGGAAAAAAGTTTTTGTTTTTGAGCCTTTAGTGTTCCCTTTGGCTCATTTGAACACTAATAATCAAGTTCTACTCAAATCCGTCCAGTAATGGTCAACGTTTTAAACTTTCTTGTGTTAACTTTCTTGTGTTTTGGACAAAAAGGGTTTTTATAGAGGCACAAACTTGTCTCATAAAGCACAATAAACAATAAAACTGCCTAAAACATGACATCTGCATGTTTAAAAGTGCCTTTTTTCTATGAAATTGGGAAATAACTTATTTTTTTACTTTTTAAAATTCCTAATAAACACTAAAGGCCATTTCAGGGTTATGTACATATTCTTCTAAACTGGAAAACATTTTCCACCATTTTTGTTTGATCTACTGATATTTTCCTTTATTTTTTAACCTCTAACTGGACCACAGTATGCATTAAAACAGCTGTTTGCATACTGCTGCCATCTCTGGCAGAGTTCTGTGTTTGCCAAATTTTTCGCAGGGCATTCTGAATATTCATGCTACTAACTGGCTTTTCACCCTGTCGGTTTATTTTCCTTCCGCTTAACAAACATTCCTCCTTTGAGTCGGGCTGCAGGTTAACCCAACCCGTATTTGTCTCGATGATGCAGCGCTCAGGTGGTTAAACGGTTTAAACGCAGTGAGAAAACCTTAGCCCTTATTTGTTTTATTGTTTTGTTGTTTATGACTGTGATGAAGATCCAGGTAAAACTATTACGTTTTTCCAGAAACTATACTACGATGGACTATAAACTGTAAGTTTTTCATTCATTTAGTGTTGCACTAGTATGTGTAAGATTTGTTTTTGTGGAGTTGTTTTTATTGGAAGAAGCCTTTTCTTTTGTGTTGCCTTGTTTTTATAGAAGTAGGAATTTGAATCATATGTTAAACGTGTTGTTGCTCACGCCAAAAAAAAAAAGAAGAAAAAATATGTCAAGTGTGCAATAAAGAACCATGTTTTCAAGCTTCCTTCTGACTGCTCTGCCTGGACTGGTAATTGTTTCTTTATCGCCAACGTCGTTTTTGTGGATGTTCAGGGACTTTGGGGAATTTCAAGGTAAGTGGGCCACATTTACAAGAAATAAAACTGGAATCAATGGAGAAAACAAGTGAGACCAAGCTTTTTCTGGCAGTTTTAGGAGCGACTGATGCATGAACCTTTAGAGTTGTTGCACTAAGTTGAAAATGAACACATCTGTTTGAAACCCACCCGCGATGCCACTCGGATCTCTTTTGATCAAGCCTGACGAGACTTGGATGTGTCATCTCATTGCTGCAAACGGGGAGCTCATCACAAAGGTCAGCCGCTCACTAAAAGCTGGATGAGGCGCATGCTGTTTAAACATGCGCACCGATGAGCGTGCATATACATCAGTCATTAAATATTATGCAAACAGCAGTCAGAAATGGATTTAAAAGCATGAACACAGATTCGTATAATGGGTGATTAAAATGGGATGTCATGGCTCTGCTGGAACACAGGAAATGAGTGCAGGATCTTGGACCATGAGGCGATGATTTGCATTGATTTCATCGACATATTACAACTGGGTCTATGAGTCACCTCACTGAATGAGAAATGTAAAAAACTAACAGTTGACTTTTTAGCCGCGATTCATGACAAATGTCTCCCTAGTTTGTAGTAAAACACGTGTCACTCTTTAATATTTCACGTTTTCTGCTCTCCTGGTAGTTGTTTCTGTTCAGACGTCACTGAGGTTGGTGGCTTTTAAACAATGGAGTAAAATCCCTGTTAAAGCACCAATTTGACATCCATAATTGTGACGAAACATCACGGTTCGTTACCTAAAACGGCTTCCTGTCAAAAGCAGATGGCAGCTTGTAATTCTTGTAAAAACAAAGGAACAAACTGACACAAGAACAGAGAAAATGCGGGTATCATTTAAATAAACGAGCAAAACCAGGAGCCCATCATCAGAATGACAAGGTATGTCTGTACACCTTAAATCAACACTAATCATTACATAGTAAAACATGAATCTTTTACTTTCAAACTGGTTTCAGTGATTCTTGAAGCAAACGAAGGCCAACTTCACTTTGGGGAGCACTCTGTTGCCCTCTGCTGGCCAGAAACTGCGCTTAACCGGTTTGCGGTATGGGTAGGAACACCAGTGGGAGGCCTCCACCTGCTCTAAGGAAATAGCTGTTTACTCTGCCGGTAGCTCATATAAAGGCCTAGCAGCTACTTTTTCAGTTTGCAGACCACCAATAAAAAGCAGCAGAAGAATGTTTTTTAATGTATTTTTTTATGGCTTCATGGAGCCTGGAGTAAAAATTGGAGAGCAATGTCTTTAAAATATAAGCAAATGGCTAAAACCAGAGTGAAAATCCACACAGCCTACAATCATTGGAGCAAATAGGGGGGGGTGCAAAATGACGGACCGATGGTGACCTGGCTTTGTTGCTGCTGGACTTGTAAGTAATATTTTTTAGTCTAACTGGGGATCCATTTATTTGATGACATTAGTTGGCACGTGTGTGCTTTGCCTTGTTGGTGCTACTGCAGACTGCAGAAGGGCTGTTTATGCCGGTTGTAATTCCACTTTAAACCAGTAGGACCGAAGCGACTAAACTTTCCTACACCTTCTGAATCAGAGGTTTCAGAAAACAACTTCTGTAAACTTTAGTTTGATTTGGTGCATTTCTAAAGCTCTGGAATTTTAAATGTCTCAATGCACAACTTTTAATGAGTTTATGCAGTGGTGACACTCAGTGGCCACTGGGGAGGGAATGCCCCCCCCCCCTCCCCCCTCTCAATAAATCTGCTTGGGGCCCTGCATTTCTACACAAAAGCCGGAGAGCTCAGCTTCAATGGTTGTGTAAAACCAGTACGTCTTCTGTTCACATGTAGATTCCCTTTCATTCGATCAAGTTGCAAAAACAAAAGAGTTTCCAACCAATCATTCCAGCTCAGACTGGCAACTCTGCAGGAACAACAGCGTTTCTTCCTCTCCCCATCTCTCCTCATCCTTTCGCTGGAGAACGGAGCTGTCTCTGAATAGGTCAGTGGGGAAAATGCTTCATGGGGGGGGGGGGGGGGGGGGGGGGCGGCAGCTAGAAGTCACTTTAATGTCATGCAGGAAGTGGGGAGTGGGGAGAAGTGGAAGAGCGGGGGAGGAGGGTGCTGATGGTGGCACCGGCCCTCGGGAAAGATGCATCAAAGGAGCATTTGTCTCAGAGACCAGCTGGGAGGATAATCGGAGAAAGAGAAGAGGGGTTAGTGCGCGTGTGTGTTTTGAATTTGGAGGATGGAAGGGTTGCAGCAGTGGTGACAGATGAACCTTCTTCCTGTGAAAAGAATACGAGGCATTCATCAGAGTGCAGCTGTTTCTGGTGCAGTGTGTGTGTGTGGCGAATTGTTTCAGAAGGTGGTCGTTGCAGGTTTCAAGCTGATGGATAAATGGAACTCCGTAGTATTTTGGACACAGGTGCCAAGTGACATATTGAAGCAACTGGATGTCATAAGTTGGGAGCAGTGATGGAGAGAAGCATCACTTTTATTTACTTTGTGTCAGGAGTGAGTTTTTCTCTGTGAGGAATCAGTCTGAGTTGTTCCTGACTGGTTGTGAAATTCATCATCAAAGATTAGAGATGATTTCTTTGCCTCCAAAGAAAATCTGTCTCTCCTAGAAATAAAATAACGTTTTGACTTGGTGGCAGATGTGTCACATAATCTCTTGGCTCAAATGTCTTCATGACCGCTAAAAGAAGAAAGTTCACCTACACACACACACACACCGATGCAGCAAAATCAAACCATTCATCTTGCTGTTCCTGCTCTAAAAAGTGATGAGTCTTCCTCTGCAGTGCTTTTTTTTTACAGCTACTTTGGTTCTGTGTTGAGTGATCCAGACAGGTGTGAGAATACTGCACGCCTGCTGTGTCACTGAATGCTGACAGAAAATGTCTAACAGGTGTGTGATTTCCTGTGTCAGTTCTGTCTCCGATGACTGCAAAACCCTCCCCATCCTGTTCCGTGCTCCACAACAACAAACTGTGACACTGACACTACTTCCATGTCAATTCACATTTACGTGGTTTTAAGGCAGAAAATAGCAGGTTGCGTTGACGGGAATACCTGCACCGGACATTGAAATTAGGCGTTAGTAGATGTGTGTTTAATGTAAAAACAACTGAACAGAAGCAGCTACATGCTTGGGAATAAAATCTCATTGTTTGCACAGTTTGAGCAAAGGGCATATTCTAGACATTAAAACTCATTCATAAAAAGACAACTGGCCCTTAATACAATCTTTGTCTAACCCTCAAACTTGTTCATGTAAACGTCGTAATTAAACACTATCTTACCTGTAGAACTGAACAAGTTCTTCAATAGGTTCAGTTCAGGAACAAACCCAGCATCCTCCTCGCCTGTCCCCAGCCAATCAGACATCCCATCCTACTCTGATCCAACATTTTCCTGTCACACGCCAGCTCTTTTGTCCTCTAACGCAGTCATGGACTCTTCTGGTTCTATAAATCTGTCTTCAACCAGGAGATGCTGCTGCCCCATTTACCTCCCCTTCCCACCTATCTGTCTCTAGAAGTCAGGTGAAGAGGCAGCTGGAGAGACTGAACAGGAACAAGGCTGCAGGTCCAGATGGTGCCAGCTCCAGAGTACTGAAGGCCTGTGCAGAGCAGCTCTGTGGGATTCTGCAGCACCTCTTCAACCTCAGCCTGGCCCAGGAGAAGGTTCCAGTCCTGTGGAAGACATCCTGCCTTTTTCCAGTTCCAAAGAAAACTCGCCCATCAGTCAATGACAACTACAGACCGGTTGCCCTGACATCCCACATCATGAAGGTCTTGGAGAGACTCCTGTTGGTCCACCTGAATAAGCAAACTAGGACATATCAGGACCCGCTGCAGTTTGCTTATCGCCATGGAGTTGGAGTTGAAGATGCCATCATCCAGCTGCTTCAACCAACCCACTGTCATCTGGACAAAGCAGACAGCACTGTGAGGGTCATGTTCTTTGATTTCTCCAGTGCATTTAACACAATTCAGCCTGATGTACTTTCCAGAAACTCCAGAAGACACAGGTGGGGGCCTCAACTATCACCTGGATTAAAGACTACCTGACAAACAGACCACAGTTTGTGAGGCTGAAGAACTGCACATCAAACCAGGCGATCAGTAACACTGGAGCACCGCAGGGGACTGTACTCTCACCATTCCTTTTCACCCTGTACACCTCAGACTTCCAGTACATAGGACAGTTATGTATCATTTATCACAATTATTATTGATAATACTGTGTTACTTAATAGACTTTGATACAAAGGTACATTGATGTGGGACTGAATCTTTTAATATTAAAACACATTAATATCAAGTTGTGATACAAATAGTGGAGTGTCACTTTTTTTTCTTCTGTTTGTGGCGCCCCCTAGATGGATGGCGCCCTTAGCATTTGCTTATATTGCCTAAAGGACGGGCTGGTACCTTCCTTACCTATATATATAAATAAATCCCCATCTCACCCTCTGCGGGCGGTCTCATCCTTTCAAGCTCGGGTTCTCTACCAGAGGCCTGGGAGCTTGAGGGTTCTGCAGTATCTTAGCTATTCCTAGAACTGCACTTATCTGGACTGAGATGTTTGATGTTTCTCCTGGGATCTGCTTTAGCCAGTCCTCCAGTTAGGGGGTTACCGCCCCGAGTACCCCGATGACCACGGACACCACCGAAGTTTTCACTCTCCAGGCTTTCTCAAGTTCTTCTTTAAGGCCCTGGTACTTCTCTTGTGTTCCTTTTTCCTGATGTTGCCATAGAAGTCCCACAGGAGCTTGGCTCGCTTGTTCTCAACCACCTTAGGGGGTGTTTTCCACTTTGACCTTGGGGCTTCCAGTCCATATTCTGCACAGATGTTCCTTTACATGATGCCAGCCACTTGGTTGTGGCGTTCCATGTCTGCTTTTCCTGCCAGCATCTTACACCCCTCAGTTATGTAG